CTAGGTTTTGAACGAGCACCAAAATACCTCGTGTGCCGAAACGTTCCAAAACAGTACTGGTCCGAAGGAGCAGACGGCATGCTTGTGCGCTTGGGCGAGACAGCATCGCTGAACACGATGATCACCGTGCCAGCCGGTGAAGAGGTGGAGATCGACGTGATCGAACAGGTTCAGCTGCAAATAGCAAAAGACCCCAGGGCAGCTTACGTTTTGGATGTGTCACCGGAACTCAAGGCTAAAGCACTCGAGTTTTACCCCGGGCCGACCATCCTCACAGCAGAGTCTCTACCGGAAGCTCTGCCAGTCAGCCTGTACAACCCGAACGTAAAAGCGAGAACCATCGGGTTGCAGGAAATTTGCACCCTCAAAAAGAAGGCGCTTCCAGGACTGCAAGCCGCAAACTCTAGTGAACATCATGAGGATCAGAAAGCTGCAAAGAATAAGGTCACAGTCACCGTGCCCGACCAAGAGCATCAGCATCAGGCTGAAGCACCAAGTGCTACAACGTCGTCTGTTCCTCCTGAAGATTCAGCTGATGATGCTACTGGGTCTTACGCATCGATGACTGGCGCTTTTGCCCAGACGTTCTGCTACCCGGAACTGCACCAGCCTAACAGACGTGAACGTCGTGCTACCTTGAAGGCGCATAAGAAAGCGAAAAAACACGCTGACTTTCAGAAAGAAGAACTTGCCCTACAGTACGGTGGAATTTCTAGTACGGGAGATGCAGAGTTGAAGCTCGCGCTAGAAACTAGTGGTGATAACCTGATCCAGTTTTTGACGAAGGTTAAAGACACTACCGACCCGTCGCTGCTGCGACAGGTCAACTGACTATGTCAACTCTATGGTCTGAGAGGTGCTGCAGCTAAAAGAGGTGGTGAACAGGAGGGTGCTGCAGCCTCCGCATCGGATAGTGCCGATGAACATGCAAGTTTTGGTTCCGAAAAACGTTATTCGGAAATGCAAGTTTTGACCCGTAATGTTTCTACTTCCCCGACAACAGCCCCTGCAACAGCAGAAAAGTCTAGTACAACATCAGAAACTTTTAGTGCAACAACGGGATATAACACTACTAATTTTTCATCTTCTAGTAGCCCTGGAAGAACCACCACTACCGATGGATTTTTTGGAAACGCAAAGTACAAGAAGAAGCTCGAGAAACAAGAAGGCACTGATAAGTTAGAGGAACTGCTCCTGGAAATACAAGAGAAGGAGAAGAAGTTGGTCAATAGCATCGATCCCCGGTCGGACGAGTGGAAGACCATCGTTTGCAACCGTTACAAGGAAGATGGACTAGGTTTCGACACTGACGATGAACGACTACAGTTTCTGAATCTGATCCGGGATAAAGCTCACGTTTTTCACGACCTTGGTTGTCCATTTCCTACTCTGCGAGACAAAAGTGGCTCGCCAATAGTCGCTGACTTTGAAACGAAAGATGACGCTGCTTGGAAGTGCTTCTCGCCTTATCCTCTTTCGGTCATGGATAAAATTCGCATGGACTTTCTCATCCGGGAGCAAATTCGCGAAGGCAAACTTATCAAGGTCGACAGCACGATGCCCCCGCCACTTCATGTCTCACCTGTTTTCTGTGCTGATCGCAAAGGGCATCTTACCAAGCGCATGGTGGTGGATTACCGGGCTGTGAGCAAGAACTTCAAGTCTATCGCTTTTCGGATGCCCGATGCACTCCAGATTTTCAAAAATCTTGAAGGCGGATATTACTTTGGAGCGTGCGATCTTGCGATGGGCTACAATCAAGTTGAACTTTCGGAACGGATGCAACGTCTTCTCACTGTCGTAGGCCCAGATGGCTGCTACTACCCTACCAGACTACCACTTGGTCCATCTCCAGCTCCTGCATTCTTTCAGCAACAAACAGCCAGTGCTTTTGAGGATGTTGTGGACGGAGTCTTCATCGATGACTTGATCTACAAGGGCAAAGATTTTGCTGAGTTTCTCCGACGTAGTAAGGAGTTGTTTGATCGATGCGAGGCTACTGGATTTACCCTGTCCCTGAAGAAGTCCGTCTTCGGTAAGAAGACAGTCGAGGTTCTCGGTTTCAACATCAGCCAAGAAGGACGGACGCCTACACCAAAGAAGGCTGAACAGCTTCGAAACTGGCTGGAGCTCGAAAGCAAGGACGATTTGGTCAGCCTGTTAGCGTTCGCAAACTACCTTCGGGAATTCATCCCCACCTACCAACGCATCCGAGGTCCATTGGCTCCTTACACGAAGAAACGCGGAAAGCCGTGGTCAGATTTTTCTGGCGATGTCGAAGCACAAGATGCGCTGACGCAGCTGAAAAAAGGCATAGCAGATGATGTCCCACTGACCAGCATCGACTTCGAAGCAGCACACAATTGGCGCAAAACTGGCCGTCCAGTGGTGGTTACGTGCGACGCATCACGATACGGCCGAAGCTATGTCATCTGCCAGGCAGCACGAGCAGGAGGACCACTACGACCTTGTGTCATCAAGGGAGTAAGCTTCGATGAGCATCAGCAGGGATGGAGCGTGCTGGAGCAAGAACTTAGTGCTGTGAAGCTCTTCTGCGAAGATGGCTGGAAGTACGTTGATGGACTTGAAATCTTTCTTCTCTTCGACCACGAGAACCTCGATCGAGTAGATGACCTAGTGGGTAACCAACGTGTCCGCGACAAGATACTAAGGTGGCTAGAGGTAGTACGGCAACGATTAGATTCTGGAGCAGTGCATCGTGTTCACATCAGTGGCACTATCAATGTTCTAGCGGACGCAGCTTCTCGGCATCCATCAGTACAAACTTCTACCATCCGCAAAGAAGACCTGCCGTTTCCTGTTTCAGCCCGAAAAATATTGGACTTCTTGTTTGATCCTCAAGCGCCAGACATGCCAGTTGTACCTTCCGCATCGATGCACTCGATCGTCTTTCAACCACCTAGTCCTGATCAGCATCGGCGATCATCGTACTCTAGTCTTTCTTCATCAACAGTCGATGTTGTGCTAAACTACGATGAGAATCATGATCGTAGATGGACCGTCAACAAAGTTGCTTTTCCGTGGGAGCTAGACTGGCGCAAAGGCTTTCAGACTGACGTGCCAACTTTTCATAGTGAGCATCCAACAGAACAACTTGCTCGACGAGCAGCACTCCGAGCTGTGGCTGACTACTTCCCCTCCGAAATGAACGAAGAGTACCACCCACGAAACTTCTACGTTCTGGACTTGCACCTGGACAAATACAAAACGATGGACCTTGAAGTGCTGCAAGAACGCCTACCACTGAAGTTTTCACATCCCGCATGGGATCCATCTTGCATGTCGCTCCGCCAAGTATGTCCTACTGCAGAATCAGGCACTAGACCTGATTGGTCTGGGGGGAAACATTTTGTTTGCAAGTGTAGAGCCCAATCAGATGCGCCTGATTCTGATAATGGCCCCGGCCTGGAAAATGAAGATGCCGACTTACAGCCACAAGCAGCCCTAGTTCCTGACGATGATGAAGTCCCAAATGCAGGAGCGAAAAGTGTTGGCGATAGTAATTCTTCTCCACTCGCCGTGGAAGTGCCAGTAGATTTGCTCCAACAGGAGGAGCCAAAAGTTGGCGTTAGCCCTGACCTCCCGGCAGAACAAAAGTTTCAGGACGGCACTCCTGATTTTAAGCAAATGACAAAACTGGAAGACTTCTACTCCGACGACACACTGCGCGACGAGAAACTTTTCAAGCATTTTTTCAGAGGTGAAAAGCCGACTCTGGTGCAAGTTGTCCGTCCTGAAGAAGGTCAAGAATGGGTGCGAATTCCCGATTGGCGAAGGCTCCATGTGGTCAAATACACTCAAGACAAACTTCAAGCAGGACAAGCATGGGAATTTGGAGCAATAGGTGACGTCATTCCTGCAACTGATCTCACCGCAGTAGTTTTCTTTGGTGAGACCCGCACTCGTCGCTCCGACAGACGACTGACGCCAGCTGAAAAACTTCGTCGTGATTGGGTTCAACGCATAACAGCCCTGCAGCAAAAAGATTTGAAGTGTGCGCACCTACGACGTGCCGCTGAGTATCTCGCCACTGGTTTCACCTCAGCCGAAGCTTTCGAAAAAATGGGCACCAGGATTTCAGCTGGAGACAAGCGCGAAGCGCTTCTGCAATGCGTCTTGCGGCCGCACCAAGTCGATGACGAGGATTGCCTTCTAGTTTTTGAACAAGGGACTTGGGCTGTTTATGTTCCTGAAGGAATTTGGGAGGTCAACCTTGACAATCCTCGAGGAGTAACTGCTCGAAAATTTTTCCTGAACTCCGCGCACCAGGAAAGCACGCATGCGAAAGCGGCCGGAACAATGGCGCACCTTCATCAGATGGGAGTTTGGTGGCCCATCGTCTGGTCTGACTGCACTAAGTTTGTTCAGCGCTGTGTGGATTGCGCGGCCTATCATGGTGTCCCGGAACGACCAGCCCATAGGCTGAACGAGAGCGCGCTGAAGTTTCGAGACAAGTACGTGATGGACTTTCAGGGACCTTTCAAGAAGACTAAGCGTGGCAGCTTGCACTTCTTCACCTGCGTTGACAGTGCAACCATGTGGTTCTGGGGAAGGCCTACTGCAGCAAAGGACGCCGGTACCGTGATAAAAATCCTACGTGACATCTTCCTTGAATTTGGTGCGCCAAGAATTATCCGGGCTGACAACGGTTTTGGTTTTTCAGAGGGATCAAGGATCAAAAAGTTTCTTCGAGCTGAGTTCCCCAACACCCGGTTGGTACTAGGAACTGCATACAACCCGAAGTCGCAGCAGGCTATAGAGCGAGTTCACCCATTCAGCCGAAAGTTTTTCACCTTCCGCCGGAATAAGGAGTGGGATGAGCTGGCCACGCATTTTCAGTGGCGAATGAGGAGCACTCCATGCGTTGCTCGTGACAACCTGACACCCCTAGAGATGTTGATCCAGGAACCGCTCGCAGTAGGCGATGCTGAGGCTGACTCGTTGACAGACCAGTTTGGCCATGCAGTACGACGACGACGTGAGAGGCAAAAACTAGTGCAGGAGCAAAGAAAAATCATCACAGAATATCGTAGTGGGCTTTTAGCACGACAGCATGCAGCAAAGATTCAACCTCTCCCCCGTGGACAACTAGTGCTTGTACAACTGCCGGAAGAAGATCGCAAAGTCAAGAGTCGCTTATCAGGAAACTGCCGTACCGAGCTGTTTGCAATCGATGCTGTCTATCAGCGTAGCTACCTCTTGATGAACCGCGATCGATCCACCAAGTTGTCCATCAAGAACCCTGTTAGCATGGAGCGAGTCGTCGACACTAAAACTCATATTGATGACTATGCAGTTGAGTCACATCGATTTCAGAAGGATGGCAAACGTGGCAGAATTTGGTGCATCAACACGTTCTGGAAGGAGGACCAAGGAAGAGCAAAGTGGGATGATGATGGGGTTGAGTTTGGCGTTGATAGTTACTGCGATTTCATGAAGGATAAAGTCTATGTAGCAGGGTAACTTTAGGCAATTTACGTGGGGGGAGTTTGAGTAAATTTGTAGTCGTAAATTCCCTAGTTCCTCATGAGCAGCTCCTGTTCCGCACCACTAGTTTCCGCCAATAAAATACTCTATCGACGGTTCACGACATGATGAAATAACTACTAGAGATCCACCATCTTGATAGGTGTAGTGTACATCCGGCCTAGTGGTCTAGTGCTCCAACTAGGACGAAAAATCTATGACAACATCGAAGGTTCTAGTCTGGTTGCTATCAATAGAATCGTGCTCAGGATCAACAGCAGAAGGAACAGTTACTGTCAATTGCTTGGTTCTACTCCCAGGCTGCTCAAATTTCGAAGTTCCTAATGCGTAGTCCATGACATCACCCTAGCTTTCCCGTCGTCATCTCTTGTCCATAAATTGAGCTCTTGGTTCAGTGGTCTAGTTCCCGCACTTGCAGTTTTCAGTTCATGTATCGAAGGTTCAATCTCCAGGTCTCATAAATTAGCAACTTTTCCAAACTTGTAACATTACAAGAATTTGAGTCCTTGTGATCATCATGCACTCTCTGAAAATGGCGAATCTGGTTCAACGGTCTAGGCGTGTAGCTTCATACATTTCAGCACATATATCGAAGGATCGAATACCTGAAACAGCATAAGCTTTCGCAACATCTACTGACAATTAGTTTCCTTGTCAAAGCATTCATCGACACATCCACGCTTGAAGCACTTTGATTCAGTTGGTACATGCATCGGACTTTTGTGCTCGTGACGTGGGTTCGTGCCCCACATCCTGACATTTGCAACTTGAATCTTCATCCGCAGGGAAAACACGACCTTGAGCCGTATAAGGCCAGGCGTTAGACCGTACAGACTAGCACTAGATTTACGACAGAATGGCCCGTTCAACTGTGAACACCTTGCAAACTCCACTGTAATCCGCATTGAGAATCCGGCCCGGTAACTTTGTCCTGTTGTTCTGACTCGTTTGGTAACTTGGCTGTTTTCGGTACCTATGACTCGGGTTCGAATCTTGTTGTCATCTTGTTGAGTAAGCGAAGTCTGAACTCGATCCTTGAAGGGTAGGAAACTAAGCGACAGTGCAACAAAATAGACCAACTGGTAGAAGGCTCGTTTGCACTTTTCAACACCAACGTTCGAAGACTAGAAAACATCACTTTCGTGTGCGAACTGAGTCTAGCGGTGTAAAACCGAAGTAGAGCATTGATTTCTATCTGCGCGAAGTAGGTCAGCTGGTAGGTGCTTCGTTTTCATCTCGAAAGACCTAGGTTCGAATCTCATCAGCGTCATTTTCTGTCCTGATAGATTTCTTCGGTGGCAACGACGATATTCAGCAGTAATTTCTAGTAGTTCTTCACAGTATCAGCCCGTATTTTACTTA